AATAACAAGGACAAAAATGTCTAAAGGGGGTGGTAAATAGTAATAGGGGGCGGTGAATAGTAATTCCCATTTTTGTTTTATATATATTTTGTGTTTGTAAGTAGAATTCGGAAGTGAATCTTGAAATTTATGAAATTAATTCAGAATGTTCGTTTAAATAAAATAAACTGATTTTATCTCTGTATATACAATTAAGAAATTTCTAAACTTATTTATCATTTTTCGTTAATTTTGATTAAAAAATGACATATTAAGTGTTCTGATGAAAATAGTACCAAAGAAAAAGTTGGAACGTTACTGAACATGTATTTCTCTTTATAGGTTAACGAGCTCAAGTACCCAATAGCCATGATCAGAGTCAGCCCAATAATTTTTAATGGGCTGCTCGTTTATAGAGCCCTTGATTTTTACTAGCGGATATATAAAGCAACTGGGCTTTGATTGTGCAGGTGGGCTTCATGGTTGAAACTACTTTACATAATAAATTCATCTTAAAGCCCAAAAGCCCATTATATGCAGATCATGTATTATTCATGCCGAATTGAGTAGAGTAGTTTCCGTGCGAACTCCTGCCCGTTTATTAAGTGAATCATCTCGTCTCAGTTTGGCTAATAAATTCTATCATATGAAATGTCCGTTTAATAAACGAGCTTGATTAGTTGTTCGAGCACGGCTCGTATAAGAAGACGAAAGAGCTGAGTTTGAGTTCTTTTACGAATCTAATTAAACTGAAAAACCGAATCGTGTTTTCAAATTGTTGGGTTCCTTTATGCCGATATACTGAGCAAAATTTTGTATTTTAGATTAGTTTCTATGTAGTTGCTAACAATTATGTATTATATTATTATTACTACAACTATTATTGTTGTAAAGTCTTGTCCTTTTTTCCAACTAATGACTAGTGGTCACTCGAATTTGATAGTTACAAAGTTTCTAAATAAAAAATTAATAAATTTACACATTTGGTTTCTTTTGAAACATTCAAATATATGTGACTCAGTTGAATAGATGGAAACTATTCTAAAATATAAATATACATATATGAAAAGTCTTTGTAATTTTGCATTTTCAATGAGCACACTCTAGACAACATCATGATTTTTTGCCTCACTGTCCAATCTTAGGCAAGTAGTTGTAGAAATTATGGCACAAAGGAAGAAATAAATAATTTTGTTGTGCTATAAACAGCTATAAAATCCAATAAATAATAAAAAGCCTATTAAAGAAATAGATGGCCTTGTCTCCCATGATGTGGCCCTATAGTTCTAGCTTCATATTCATATCAAATTT